ACCACGACCAGCATCAGCTGGGTGGGTGGGGGGGGCGGTGGGAGCCGTCTCACCCCTAAGTCGACTAGGCCTTAAATTTCTTTAAAAAAAAATATTTCCTGTGTGCTGTTGTGAGCCGTATTGTAAACTGTGAGCGCTGCTATGGAGAGTGTCAGAGAGAGAGACAAAGGCGGTCGGGCGTGGTTGTCGTTGTGTATGAGAAGGTGCAGCAGCTACAGAGAGAGAGACAAAGGCGGCCGGGCGTGATGGTGGCGGTGTTGGTGTCAACACCCACGCTGGTGCCAGGTAACAAAGCCCCGCCCCTCGCTCGCCCCGCCCCTCGCTCGCCCCGCCCCTCGCTCGCCCCGCCCCTCCTGATTGGACAGGGCGACGGTTAAAATGGGCGTAGAAAAATAAAAACGCTTCCGATTGGTTGAGGTGAATTGTGGGCTAGGTTTACAGAGAGCTGGGGGGCCAGCCCCGGTTTGCCAATGCTCGGCTTCGGATTGGACAGTTCGTCGAATGGGCGCGGCTTGAGTTTGATGAATATTCATGAGGTGGTTTCTGCAAAAATCGTGTCCCTGATTGGTGCAAGCTCTCAACCAACCCACGTGACTGGGTGGGAGGACCCGCGCTCCTCATTGATCAGCTGTGCCAGGTGGGGGAGGGGGCCGCGGTTGCTAGGGAATTCCACCCACCCCACGCGTAACCATGGAAACGCGTCCATCCCAACCGTTACCACGACCACAATATAATAATTTTATTTTATTTTCAGTAATATTTTTTTTTACTGTATTTTGTTGGTATTTTTTATTTTATATTTTTTTTACATATATATATTTTTTAATTCGTATTCTTCTATTTGTTTAAATTATTTGTTTTTTTATTTTCATTTTTTACTTGCATTTATTTATAGTTTTTTTTATCGTAATTTTTTATTTTAAAATGTTGCTATGAAATTTGTAAATAGTTTTTAATTTGTATTTCTCATTAGTATTGTTTTACATTTTGATTTAAAGCTTTCGTGACTGCGGCGATTCATATTCTTGATTCTTTCGGTAAAGTCACGTAGAAGGGAAACAATAAATAATAAAATAAATATATATAAAACAATAAAAAATTCTCACGACGTTTCGACCATAACACAAACGGTCGTCATCAGGCGTGACGGTTTGCATCGATTAATTTATTTATTTTATTTATACACTGTTTTAAAATAAATAAATTACTACAAACCGACGCACCTGATGACGACCGTTTGTGTTATGGTCGAAACGTCGTGAGAATTTTTTTATTGTTTTATATATATTTTATTATTTTTACTGTTTCCCTTCAACGTGGTGACTTTATCGAAAGAGCTAAGAATACGAATTACTGCAGTCACGAAAGCTTTAAATCAAAAATAATATTATTGTTTTAGTTTGCCTGTGTGGACGGGTAGCCGATGGGTCAGCGTACCCACCATTGCTGTAGCCGATACGATTTAAGAGCAATATATTAGGGGGGGCATTTTGAGCATATTTGAATATTGGGGGGGGGGATGTGTCCGCCACAATATATATTAAAACTAGATGTGCTACCCCCGGGACTTGGATCCACCACGCCCGGCCGCCTTTGTCTCCCCAGTGGCGATGTTCACACACCAGAGCAGTTGCTCGTTTGAGGCTGAGTCGACCTAGGGGAGGCCCAGGAGCGGTTGAAATAATTCGTCACCGGTGGTGGCCGTGAGCGGGAATCGAACTCGGGTCGCCGGGTTCATAGCGCAGCGTAGCGCTAACCACTACACTACCGCTGCCCCCACACATACACACAGACACACAGACACATACACACAGACACATATACACAGAGACATATATACACACACAGACACATATATACCCACACATACAGACACATATATACACACACACAGACACACACAGACACATATATATACACACACACACAGATACACACAGACACACACAGACACATATATACACACACACATACACACATATACATACATACACACACATACAGACACACAGACACATATATACACATACACACACAGACACACAGACATGCACACAGACACATATATACACACACAGACACATATATACACACACATACACACACATATACATACATACACACACATACAGACACACATATACACACAGACACATACAGACACACATATACACACAGACACACACACAGACACATATATACACACACACACATACACACAGACACACACAGACACATATATACACAGACACACACAGACACATATATACACAACAAAAACAACCGCCATTCGCCACTAAGTGGCGGTGACGTCACCACGACGCTTGTGCCAGGCCACGTGCACCTTGAGGCCACGTGAAGTGTCGAACGCCCGCTGGCAGGAGGTCACGGGGCAGACCCAGGTGCCACGGGTCGACTGACTGAGATGACTGGCTAATGCACTACCTGTGCCCCCTACTGTGCCAACCTGCTGTGCTTTAGCCACCCGGCGCTCCGCTCGTTGTTGTGAGCGTCGCTCCTCCTCCCTCCGTTGTTGTTGGAGGGCGACTGCCTCCAACTGCCCAGTAGCAGCGTCCTTCACGAGCCTCCTCCACAGAGGCCGATCTTGACACCGCTGGTACCAGTCATCGGCAAGTCCACTCAGCTCCACGTCCTCCTGTACCACATCACTCCATCTCTTCTCTAGCCCGTGCTGCGCCCGCTTAGCCTCCTCAAAAGCTGTTTTGGCATGCGGTGGCTGGGCATGCGGACTACATGACCCAGCCAACGCAGCCTTGACCGCCGGAGGAGCTCACCAATGGGACCTTGCCCAGATCTTTAAAAGATTTGTGAACTCCTCACACAATCCAGCCTGGTTAAACCCAGGATGGATCGTAGGCAGGCCAGCCTAAATGTTTCTAACCGGCAAAGATGTTCCATTAGGGTGGTCCACGTTTCGCAAGCGTAAAGAAGGGAGGGAATGACCGTGGCCGAGAAGACCTGAAGCTTAGTGCAGAGCGACAGACCAGGTAGCTTCCACACAGCGTTACGCAAACGATGAAAAGATATTGCCGCTCGACTGATTCGGAGTGAGACCTCTGCTGTTAAACTGGAGCCGGTCACATACACACACACAGACACACACACACAGACAGCGCGCTAACCACTACACTGCAATGCATTACTCTTCCACGTGCGAAGGTCACGTGACATGTGACGTCACAGCTAACTTGCCGTGCAAAACATTAATGCATTATTGAGCCCCCCCCCCTCCCAAAAAAGAAAAGTGTATTTTTATAATTTTTGCACGGTGTACAGTCTGGAAAGTACCCACATGGCAAATGTCAAGTGTGTTGCATGTCGGGAAGTACGCTAAAACATTTTGAACAGACGCGTATGTACAACTTTGCCTTTTATATATATAGTGCCGTGAATTCACTCGGACGACAACCGTCTCTTTTTCCACCGTCACTTTTATTCCATCGTTCCGTACACACAGTAATTCTCTCCGTGCTCCGCCAACTCGGACACTCCGATTTGCTTCAGCATCGTCCGTGCATCCCCTTCCAGACACAGTGTTCCTTCGCCTATCTCTTCACACACAGTGACTTCCCTTCCACACACAGTGGCTCGTCTTCTATCTCCTCACACACACAGTATCACCGCTATCTCTTCACACGCAGTGACTTCCCTTCCACACACAGTGGTTCTTCTTCTATCTATTCACACACAGTATCCTGTCTGTCTATTCACACACAGTGACTCCATCTATCTATTCACACACAGTGACTCCATCTATCTATTCACACACAGTGACTCTATCTATCTCCGCTAACGCTAACTCTCCCTATCGCTATTTACTGTCTTTGGGGTTCGGCTCTCTATCTATTCTTCCCTAACATTGCCAGCTGTCTTCTTCGTAACTCGTCACCTCTCGCCAACAACTCCCCAGCAACAACTCCAACTCCCCGTTCAAACCACCTCGCGTTTTATCCCCTCTCGCATTAGCCTTAATTAATTGCCACGTGGCTCGCTGGCCGTTTCCCGCCAGCTCGCACCTGTCTCCTCCGTCAGACATCGAGACGCCACCACTTAACACTAACAGCCTCTCGACCAATCACAGCCCTCGTGCCACGGCTCCCTTAATTCCTTCGGGTTGTTTACGCCACCCGTGACTCGACCACCTGTTCGACCTCATGTGACCCGTTCTCCTTGTCCGTCTGTATGTACTGTATGTGGCCAATTCCTATGCGTATTGTTTACTCCACTACATAAATGAAAACAAATCAATGAAACTGGAAACACGAGGTTCGTGTACCCAGCGCTGCATCGGTCTGTTGCCACCCTGCCACGAATGACGGGACCCACCGTCTCACCGACTACAGGTAGATAAGCCTCACAATGTACCGTGCATTGCAGTGCCTCGAACGCTGTACGAGTTGGGTCAACAGTGACACGAGACTAGAACTCACCTGGCCGCATTCCTGGTGACCATTTACAGGAAGTACATCGCTCGGGCAACGTGATATTTGTTTCAATCAGGCACTTTCCGAAGACCCGCGGACGATCACTGCCAAACGTTGTTCGACAAAGATTGGTGAGAGAGACAGACTGACTGAGACACTCGTTCATACTTATACACAAACGGCTTCCGATCTCACACAGGCATCCATCCATACTCTAAAATCACACTTCTTACAGAGACACTCTCAAACCCACACACACACACTCACCCACTCACCAACCCCCAAATACACACACTCACCCACTCACTCACTCATTCTCAAATACACACACTCACCCACTCACTCATTCACTATCAAATACACACACTCACCCACTCACTCATTCACTATCAAATACATACACACACTCACCCACTCATTCACTATGAAATACACACACTCACCCACTCACTCATTCACTATCAAATACACACACTCACCCACTCACTCATTCACTATCAAATACACACACTCACCCACTCACTCATCCACACTCAAATGCACACACCTACTTACTCATCTACCCTCACATACACATACACACACTCACCCACTCAATCTCTCAAACAAACACACCCACACTGAATCCTTCACACGCTCAAACAAACACCGGTCCACGCTCGTCCAGACTGAATCTCACACACACATTCATACTCACACTCAATCACACACACACACAACAGCCTCACCAACCCACTCGACATCTCACACTCAAATGCACCCCGCACATATCGATCCACTCACTCGTCCACACTAAAGCCTCTCTCACACACACACACACAAACACAAACACACTTCCATTCAATCGCAAGACCGACGGTCAACGCGTTAACGAGAGACTGTGACGAGGAGTCTGTGACGAGGAGAGGAGAGCGTCATGACCCCGGGGACAGAGACGCTGCTCTTATCACAACTACTGGTGAGGACGAACGCTCATCGTTCATTCACCACCATCATCATGGGCGTCGCGGTGGCTAGGAGATGTTGACTACCTCGCCCGGTGTACAGGGATGCTGTGTGGGTTCGCCTGCTGCTGGAATATTTTCAGTCTGCGTCTTTCTCTACCTTTAGGTGGTCGCGTGGATTGTTCTTACCGGGTCCTCCACATTTAGAAACACGCGATTGGAGTGATTGGCTGCTTCTATACATTCCCGCGTGATAAGCCACTCCGTTGAACTATCATTTGTACTTGTTAACATATATATTTTATCATTTTATTGTTTCCCTTCAACGTGACTTCACCGAAAGAGCTAAGAATATTAATTACTGCAGTCACGAAAGCTTTAAATCAAAACATAACAAGAGTTTAGTCCATGGGTCTCTATGCATCTCTGTGGGTCTCTATGAGCATCTGTATCTCGATAGGTGTCTATGTGTCTCTATGGATATATATGTGTATATATTATGGGTCTCTATGTGCATCTCTATGCATTTAGAGCTTTGGGTTTTTTTTCAGTTTATTTATTTTGGTATAGCCCTGTGAGCCATTCGGCTCTTGAATCGGGTGCAACCACAACAAACAAACAAAAACTAAAACACGAACAAGAAAAACATCTTAAAGTGACTATCGGATTAATTGTTTATGTGGCAGATGCTATATTGGACAGACGGGACGTAACATCAGCGTAAGACTAAAAGAACATCAGAGAAATATTAAATTATCTCAAACACAACTGTCGGCAGTGGCAGAACATGCTTGCCAACAAGGACACTCGATTGATTTTGATAACGTTGAAGTGTTGTGTAAAACTAATTATTACTGGCAAAGACTAATTAGAGAATCCATTGAAATTGAGAGGAATAGAAATAACTTTAATCGCTCTGACAGCTACAGGCTTAGTGCGGCCTGGAAGCGTATTATTAAATAATGCATATTACAATTCCTTATAGGGGAAACACATACTAATTAACGGATTACTAACATAGCATATAATCACTAACACACATTACAACTAATTACTAATCTACAACTCATTACTAATCATAACCATTGACTGATTACTAATCGATTACATAGTTACAATACCCGCCCCTCCGCCTCTAATCACTTCACCTGATATGAGTTAAATCATGACGTCACCCTGCTGCTCTATTTAAGACCGGGAGCAAGCGAGGGCTTTACCATTCTGGCGAATTGCCCGATGATGCTGGATGTAATTACCAGCGAAACGTCACAGTACAACTCAAACTGTAAATGTTGTGGATTCACTCTTCAACAACACACCGGTGGGCTAAAGTAGTGAATTATTTGTCTTTTGTCAACGTGACACTTTTTTGCTGATTGGCCGTGTCGGGTGATGGAGGGTTACGACACATTTATAAATAACGCGATCTAGCCCAAAAACCTTTACTATGAATTATTATGAAGTGACTATGTAACTGTGCAAACAGAAAATCCATTAAAAAAAAAAACAGCAAAATATTCCTGAAAAAAAACACCGTTACACCAACGCTGTGGCCATCAGTCTAAACTCCGTACTACAACAAAACAAACACGTCCAAACCAAAAAGAAACGTTTTCGAAATCACCAAAAAATAAAGCCATTATTGCAACGGTACAGTGATCATAGTGATCATAAATGAGGGGAGGGGGGGAGGAGTCAGGGACAGAGAGGGTAGTGGGGGGGGAGGAGCCAGGGTACTGTGACCTCTTACCCCCAGTTTCAAACACTACCATCACCATTACCCCCATCCCCCCGCGACTATATCACTCAACACAGCGATCTCTGAGGCACACTTAAAGCGTTTGTGCTTTCGCTAAGCTGTCCCCCACCTGAAGAAGGGCGCTTGTGTCGCACCCGAAAAACGTCGTGCTTTAATTTATTTAGATTGTTCTACCCACGTGACTTTAGCGGAAAAATAAAAACAAAGAGCATGGACCCTTGCAGTCACGAAAACTTCAAATCCAGAACGACATTGAGGTGGTCGTATGTTTGTGATGTCATTGACGGAAGTCAGTTGGTGTTGACGCGGGCGGCCGTGGCTGTCATTAAGCATCGAGTAGAGTGAGAAGTTGGGGCGACCTTCTGTGATCGGGTTGAATGTTCACGTGACATTCCCGACGACGAGCAAGACGGACAGACGCCTTACTACACAGACATACATACAACAACAAAATAAAACACACCACTCTGGCGTGTTTCACCCGCGTTAGCGGGTAACTGAAAGTGGTCCAGGAGGGTAAAATGCGGTCACCTATTACCCCTCCCCCCTGCCACCTACCTCCTAGCAGGAAGCTGAGTGACCCTCAACAACAACAACACAAAATCACACCGTGGGCGCGTGACTGTGACTTTGAATTGAGGAAGAAGCTTGAACGAGCCGGAGCATGGCGTTCTTTTTCTGAACAGGCTCTTGTGTAGGACACAGCGGGATCAGAAACGTCAACAACAACAACAAGCACAACAACTGGGCGTGGGCGAGTGAATGAAACGTCGCGAGTTCGGCTATCTTGGGGTTGCAAGTGTGAACTGGGCAAGAGCTGGACTGGGTAGGAGTCGTGGGGAGTTGGTGGTGAGGAGAGACGGGGCAGCGTCATGCACCAGTGGAGGAGCATTCTGGTGCTGGGTGGAATGATCCTCGTGGTGAGTTACCTCTCATTATCATATATTACTTCTCATTAGCCCTATTAATTCTTATTACTCCTATTAATTCTTGTTACTCCTATTACTTCTCATTAGCCCTATTACTTCTCATTAGCCCTATTACTTCTCATTACTACTTATTACTTCTCATTACTCCTATTACTTCTCATTACTCCTATTCATTCTTATTACTCCTATTAATTCTTATTACTCCTATTACTTTTCATTACTCCTATTACTTCTCATTACTCCTATTACTTCTCATTAGCCCTATTACTTCTCATTACTCCTATTACTTGTTATTACTCCTATTACTTCTTATTACTCCTATTAATTCTTATTATCATATATTACTTCTCATTTCTCCTATTAATTCTTATTACTCCTATTACTTCTCATTACCCCTATTACTTCTCATTACCACTATTACTTCTCATTACCCCTCAATTTCCCTATTACTTCTCATTACCTCTATTAATTCTTATTACTCCTATTACCTCTAATTACTCCTATTACTTCTCATTACCCCTATTACTTCTCATTACTCATATTACTTCTCATTACTCCTATTACTTCTCATTGCCCCTATTACCTCTCATAACCCCTATTACCTCTCTGTCAGGGGTTTGGGGAGCAGTGGTGGGGGATGCTGGAGGGGTGGACTCGGTAAGATGGATGAATATTTATATATACATTGTTCTTTTTAAGACTTTGTGGAATAGCCCAGGGTGTTGTTGCTGCTTCTGCGATGACAATACAACATTGCACAAAGATCTTAACAGCGAACTCAGCCTCCTGAACTTCCTCATGGCAGCCTGTTAAGGTAATGACAATGCCTTTGTAGAGGCGACATTGGGGTTTCGTGTGATTAAGCTCGGCCTTTTGCAAATAGCTGGGTTAAGTCAACTTCTGGCTGCGAAGTTGAACTCGCGAACTGTAAATGTGCCAATCGGATGTCTGAAGTCGACAGGCGTGGTTTGCTAGGGCTGATCTTTCCATTCGAATGTGTTTTTTTTTTCTACCCATTAATCATCAAATCATTCCGGCAGGGTGATGATTGATTCGACATACAAGGTGTGAGTATGTGTCTTGTCTGAAGACAATTCTCCGCACAATTTTGTTTTTCGTTTTACCCGAGTTGGTGAACACCAGGTATGGATGGATTCGGGACACAAAGTAGCAATACTCACAAACTCATCGCGGGAACAACAGCGGCAAAGCCTTCCTGAAAGCACCGGCACTGTCGCAGCTGGCAGAGCGGCGACGTCTCGCGACGTCGCTCGCAGTGACTCCATTCTGCGTGGATGTTCTCTGCAGGTGTGTTATGCACTGCAGGAGCTGTCAGCCGGTGACTCCATTCTGCGTGGATGTTCTCTGCAGGTGTGTTGTTGTCTGAAGGAGTCGTCTGCCGCCACAGAGTGTGGAAATGGATTCTACAAATCGCCACAAGGAGTCTGCTGTGAGCTGTGCCGTGCAGGTAAAGCGACGCCAAGACACGGAGACCCACAATCCCTGTGGTGACCGGTTGCTTCCGTTAAACCACCAAGTCACGGCTCAGCTCCTGTGGAAAGGAAACTAAAATGGAATTAACTTTTCCCCCCCGTGACCTGGCATCAATTTGGATGTAAATGGTGGATTCTGAAAGAAAGAAACGTGTTTTCAGTCGGGGAATTGTGCTCTTGATCACACCTAGGACATGTTGACTTGTCAGTGCAGCTCGATCTCACCAACTTGTGGCCGTGTGTTTGTGTTTGCAACAACTCCATTGCTTGCTCACACCTCTTTGCCTTTCAGGGATGCACAAAGTGGCGGACTGCATCGGTGATGGATTGGGCGCCTTGTGTGAGCCGTGCCCGAGAGGCAGATTCATGGACAGGGACAGCCAGGAGGAGGTGTGCTCGCAATGCAGCAGCTGTGGACCAGGTAGATGACAGCACAGCAAGTGGGTTGTTGCCGTAAATGTGAATTGTGTTTGACATTTGTAGTTTTTCAATGCGTGGCAGGTTTGGTCTGCATACTCCAACTTCAACCAGCATTAAAAAAAAACACGGGGAAAACTTAACAAGGAAACTGACCAAATATTCCAAGCAAGACAATCCCACCTCAAATTATATTCCAATTCTAGATTTCAATTTCGATTTAAAGCTTTCGTGACTGCAATGATTCATCTTCTTTGGTTCTTTCGGTAAAGTCACGTAGAATGAGAATAAAATAACACAATAATATTCTCACGACGTTTCGGCCACAACACAAGCGGCCTTCATCAGGTGAAGGGCTTAAGGATGTGTGGAATCCCTCCCCGTAGAGGCGGTTAAATTTCGATTTAAAGCTTTCGTGACTGCAATGATTTCAAGTTTAACACGTAGGCTTTCGCGACCAATATTATTCATAATAAAGGTTTTTGGGTTAGATCGCGTTTATTTATAAATGTGTCGAAACCCTCCACCACCCGACACGGCCAATCAGCAAAAAAAGGTGTCACGTTGACAAAAAGACACAAATAGTTCACTACTTTAGCCCACCGGTGTGTTGAAGAGTGAATCCACAACTTTTACAGTTTGAGTTGTACTGTGACGTTTCGCTGGTAAATACATCCAGCATCATCGGGCAATTCGCCAGAATGGTAAAGCCCTCGCTTGCTCCCGGTTTTATATAGAGCAGCAGGGTGACGTCATCACTTAACTCATATCAGGTGCAGTGATTAGAGGCGGAGGGGGGGGGGGTATTGTAATTATATAATCTATTAGTAATCATTCATTGGTTATGATTAGTAATGAGTTGTAGATTAGTAATTCTTTAAATCAAAATGTAATGTGTATTATTTAATAATACGCTTCCAGGCCGCACTAAGCCTGTAGCTGTCAGAGCGATTAAAGTTATTCTTGTTCCTCTCAATTTCAATGGATTCTCTAATTAGTCTTTGCCAGTGATAATTAGTTTTACACACCACTGCAACATTGTCAAAATCAATTGAGTGTCCTTGTTGACAAGCATGTTCTGCCACTGCCGACAGTTGTGTTTGAGATAATTTAATATTTCTCTGATGTTCTTTTAGTCTTACGCTGATGTTACGTCCCGTCTGTCCAATGAAGCAGCTGCCACATACACAATTAATCCGATATACACCTTCTGTTGATAATTTAGGCAATGCGTCTTTAGTGCAACATACTAGTTTTTGAATTTTGTGTACTGTACCAAATCTTACTGTAATGTTTTGCTTTTGCAAAACACGGGCTAATTTGTCAGTTACTCCTGAGATATATGGAATTTTATTGTTTTAACAATCTGGTCGCTTTCAGCAGTATTGCTTTGCGATCGTGATTTGGCATTCAGTGCTCTGTTAATTTGAGCATTATTGTAGCCATTCTGTCGTAGTGCGTTTTTAACGTGTTTAATCTCTCTCACTAGACTCTCACCATCTGACACTGTTTTAGCCCGATGTATGAGCGTCTTGATTAGAGAGCATTTCTGAGCTGGATGATGATGTGATTCTGCATTCAGATAGGCATCAGTGTGCGTTTGCTTTCTGTAAATGCTGTGTGTTATTTTACCGTTTAGGCCATGTCCAAGCAAAATATCTAGGAATGGGAGTGTGTTATTCACCTCCATTTCCATGGTGAACTGGATGGCCGGGTTTTGTGCATTGAGATGGTTTAGAAAATCATTAAGTGTATCTTTACCATGTGGCCAGACAACCAAAGTGTCATCCACATATCTAAACCAAAAGGATGGTTTTAATGTGCTCGAGGCAAGTGCTCTTATTTCAAAGTTTTCCATGTACAAATTTGCTATAGCAGGGGATAAAGGAGAACCCATTGCTGCTCCTTCCTTTTGTTTAAAGAAATCCCCTCTCCTTAAGAAATAAGTGTTATTTAAACAATGGCCAGCAAGTTTCGGAATATCTTTTGGTAAACCGGTATTCTTTACTCGTGTATCAAGTAATTTAAGCGATTCGTCCACTGGAACCTTAGTGAATAGAGAAATCACATCAAAACTTACCAGAATATCATCAGGAGTAAGTTTAATATCTTTAATCACATTCACAAGACGTTCTGAATTTTTTATGAATGAAGATGTCCTACCGATGTATGGCTGTATTTGTTTGGTTATATATTTAGCTAATTGATATGTGGCAGAGCCAATTGTACTGACTATGGGTCGTAATGGGATGCCGATTTTATGAATCTTTGGTAGCCCATAGAGTCTAGGTGGTTTTGAGGCCCTTTGCTTAATTTGGTATTGCTCATTTTTAGGGATTAATGAATTTGCAATTATTGCAGTGGTCTTACGTTCTTAAGTATTAGTTGGATCTCGTTTAATTTTAATGTAGGTACTTTCCTCTAGTAAATTTCTAATTTTATTATCATAATCGGCTCATGACATCACTACAGTAGTGCGGCCTTTATCAGCTGCTAGGATTTGGATATCTTTGTTTACATGCAGCTCTCTTAAGGCGTTTGCCTCGTTAGAGCTAATATTTACTTTTGGAACTTTGCTATTCTCAATTATTTTAGCAACCTCACGTCTAGTCATCTCTGCCTCATTATGTGTGATTCTACCTCAGCAATTATCTCATCCACTGGAATTGTGCGTGGGGTAACGGCAAAATTAAGGCCTTTAGAACGGATAGAGACCATGTCAACGGTTTATACAGTGTTAGTCAAGTTCAGTACGGTTTTGTTTTTAAATTTTTGGTTTTCAGTAGGGATTTGTTTATTATGTAGTCTAGAAAATGTATTAATTTGGTTAGTTTTTGTTAGTTTAAACACATTATCAGCCGATTGTTGTGTTATGTTATCGATTATATTCCAATAATGCATAGATACACTATTGCTTATATCTAAGTGTAACTGCTTTAGCGATTCCGAAATGTAAGATAATTCACTCCTATTGTGCTGTATTCTCTCTATTAATAATAATTCGCTAGCTTTGTGTAGTATTTGGTTAGCTTTAGAAGACTTTATGTGATGTGTTATTTTAACTGCGTTTGGTATTACTTTTGAATCTCTGCACCTTTTGAGGAACGCCAGGGAAGATATCAATTTCATCCACTTAATGTGGAGCTTCTCTAATTTTCTGGTTTTAAGAAAAGTATCCTCCCCATAGAGGTTAGTCAGTTTAACACGTAGGCTTTCGCGACCAATATTATTCATAATAAAGGTTTTTGGGTTAGATCGCGTTTATTTATAAATGTGTCATAACCCTCCACCACCCGACACGGTCAATCAGCAAAAAAAGGTGTCACGTTGACAAAAAGACAAATAGTTCACTACTTTAGCCCACCGGTGTGTTGAAGAGTGAATCCACATTTACAGTTTGAGTACGACGTTTCGCTGGTAAATATATCCAGCATCATCGGGCAATACGCCAGAATGGTAAAGCCCTCGCTTGCTCCCGGTTTTATATAGAGCAGCAGGGTGACGTCATCACTTAACTCATATCAGGTGCAGTGATTAGAGGTGGAAGGGGGGGGGGGGGTATTGTAATTATATAATCGATTAGTAATCAGTCATTGGTTATGATTAGTAATGAGTTGTAGATTAGTAATTCTTTAAATCAAAATGTAATGTGTATTATTTAATAATACGCTTCCAGGCCGCACTAAGCCTGTAGCTGTCAGAGCGATTAAAGTTATTCTTGTTCCTCTCAATTTCAATGGATTCTCTAATTAGTCTTTGCCAGTGATAATTAGTTTTACACACCACTGCAACATTGTCAAAATCAATTGAGTGTCCTTGTTGACAAGCATGTTCTGCCACTGCCGACAGTTGTGTTTGAGACAATTTAATATTTCTCTGATGTTCTTTTAGTCTTACGCTGATGTTACGTCCCGTCTGTCCAATGTAGCAGCTGCCACATAAACAATTAATCCGATATACACCTTCTGTTGATAATTTAGGCAATGCGTCTTTAGTGCAACATACTAGTTTTTGAATTTTGTGTACTGTACCAAATCTTACTGTAATGTTTTTCTTTTGCAAAACACGGGCTAATTTGTCAGTTACTCCTGAGATATATGGAATTTTTATTGTTTTAACAATCTGGTCGCTTTCAGCAGTATTGCTTTGCGATCGTGATTTGGCATTCAGTGCTCTGTTAATTTGAGCATTATTGTAGCCATTCTGTCGTAGTGTGTTTTTAACGTGTTTAATCTCTCTCACTAGACTCTCACCATCTGACACTGTTTTAGCCCGATGTATGAGCGTCTTGATAAGAGAGCATTTCTGAGCTGGATGATGATGTGATTCTGCATTCAGATAGGCATCAGTGTGCGTTTGCTTTCTGTAAATGCTGTGTGTTATTTTACCGTTTAGGCCATGTCCAAGCAAAATATCTAGGAATGGGAGTGTGTTATTCACCTCCATTTCCATGGTGAACTGGA